TAAATTAGTGACCTGAAGAAATAAGAGCTCTGCTCTATATATACAGCAGAAACCTGGATAGTTTATCTTCTTCCATTTTTTGCATTTCTCTTTTTCGATTGCCAATCTCTTCTTCTAGGTTGTGCCAGCAAAGGTCATACAGCAAAGTTTCAGTACATGATGCCACAAGTTGTATTGTTTTCAGCTGGTTTATTCAGTGGTGGAATTCTGTAGGCGTGGCTTGGTGAGTGTGGCAGCGGAAGGATACGGTATAATCTCCAGTCAGAGGTGGTATTTGCTGGTTGTCCAAACTACTCAAAATTTCCGCTACCGGTTCTCCAGAACTGGTCAGAAACTGCTGAATACCACCTCTGGGTTTATTGCAAAGACTGGCACTGAGAGGACTGAGAGGCAATACCAATTGCCCTCCATGCCAGTAGTGGGATTCAAAAATTTTTACTACCGATTCTGTGGGTGTGGCTTGGTGGGCGTGGTGTGGCAGGGGAAGGATACTGTAAAATCTCCATTCCCACCCCACTTCAGGGGAAGGTTACTGCAAAATCCCATTCCCTCCCCACCCCACTAACCCGCTTTCCAGCTCCATTTTCCTGTGCAGGGCAACCAAAGAAGACCCAGCCGATCAGCTGGGATTCAGGAGGAAGAGAATAGATGGGGGTGAGGGTGGGCAGAAGTGGTATTTGCCGGTTCTCCAAACTACTCAAAATTTCTGCTACTGGTCAGAACCCTTCTGCTCCATACCTAAGACAGGACTATGTGGTCACTACGATTCAAGAATGACTTCATGGTATGTAATCATATAATCAGTGAATGCATTCATGCTCTTAAAAATTGCAAAAAGCTAATGCTGCAAAGCTGGAAGAATACCCTTTCTCCATGAATTATTCAGTTGTCTGAAGAATTTACCTTCTGTCTAAATTTGAATAAGTATTCCCGCCACCCCAGAAAAAGATATCTTAAGAGAACTCTTTGGAAATTTGGAATGGATATGTTTAATTTCCCTTTTTGATTTCTCAGCTCATAAGTGTGAATAATTAAATACAACTGAATAAAGTAGCAATATTAACACAATTTAATAATTATCTTGATCTTGAAGCCCAGGTGCAGAACTCAACTGTTCCTTTTGTTCTACGATCAAAGAATGCAGAAAACATTCAAGTAATAAATTGGGTATTAACTGTCTAAGATGAATTAAGTTATATGAGCACTAAATATTAAGTCACAAAATACAGTACTTATTTTTTCAAGGATCATTAGAAGAGGTTAATTGTTTGGACATAAACACTATTTTCATAGAACGTGGTAATTTCTAAGATCCTTCCATTTCTAAACTTGGATTGCTCTATTAAGTAATGGTCTTACCTAAAAAATAAATACCTCAATAAATACCAAACCTAGCTTTGTTCCCTATGCTATCTGGTAAACTGATCCCTGAGTCTGGTAAACTCACAAGATTCATTTTTCTTGCCATGTACAAGTATACATCCAAACTGCAATGAAATTTCATTTTAATGTATGCAAATTAATGTATATTCAAAGTGACATCTATCAATCATGCAAGTTGTCCCCAATGCCAAGTTCTTTTTCATTCTTCTGACCACCTGTACCAATCGTTTCCATTCATATCCAGAAGAAATCAAAGCTGTTGCTTACCGATCAAAACATCCACAATACTATCTGAAATCATTTGTCTCATGCCCAAAACTCTTTGCAAATCCCTAATAATGTATAGGGGAGATTATGCCAAAACTAGGAAACACATTTACAAAAACACAAAGCATTAGAGTGAGTAGACCTCAATTGGTATTGCACATCAACTTTTTAATGTCAAGCAGAGTCCTGGAACATGAATATAAAGATGAGATGAACCAGTATGTATGGCAAGCAGCTTTATAATTCTGCACTAGAGCTGTAATGAGTAGGTGACTTGTTACAAGAGTGAGACAGTATCCAAATGACCTCTGGTCAGGAAGCAAAATATGAAACACCTACAAACACCAGGTGTTTATATATCAGGATAATCAGAACACTGGCTTCATTACAAAGCCATGTGGGAAGCTTTGCATTTTTCCAAGGAATGTAAAAAGCTGCACAGCCATACTTGAGTCTTCATGTAAGCTCATATAGACCTTTGTGGGCAGTTATAACCTGTCCTTTATAGAATTTGATCCCAAATTTGCATTGTCAGCTTATAAATTTACTCCAGAACATGGAGGACCCAGATTGTTGGGGGCAATATACTGACTCTGTAAACCACTTAAGAGCTGTAAAGGTACTATGAAGTGGTATATAAAGTCTAACTGCTATTGCTGTCTAGAAGAAACGTTTGATAGGCACTTGCATATACACACACACACACACTCACTCACTCTCCTTTGACAGACTAACAAAGTTCTCAAAATCAAAGCCCATTCGGAATAATTTAAGAAAAAAGGCTCGTTCTCAGTTCATTTTATTAATCAATGACTTGTGATCCAGCAAAGTAGTTTCCATTTGTTGCTGCAGATTAAGAAATTAAGCAGGAAATGAAACACTTGTCTACTGCATATCAAACTCGAGTTTTTAACATATTCCCGTTAGTTATATTTTCAGAATTTAAAGAGTTAAAGGAAGAGTTCTATCCGGTTTTAATTTTAAATACATTCGCTCCCCAAGTAGTTGCTGTCACTCGGAATTAAACCCAAGATATCCTATAACGGCGCCTTCTATAAACTCAACCCTACTGGTTGAGCCATTTGAAGAGTACCGTAGTCCCCGCCATGTGCGCATGCACCTTAATAGTCTCAGTCCCGTAATTTCTTGACTGTCATAAACGGCCGTTTATGCCCTTGGCGATTTTCCCAAGGCCGGTTGGCCCAACGGCTCCCACCTACCGTCGTGCTTAACCAGAACTCTCCGTCTCCCGATGCTTTAACCATCGCATTAAACTATCAGTTACCTTAGTAAAGATCAAAATAGTATGCATATTATACAGCTGACTGCTTTAAGTTTAAAAAGCACTTAGAGACTTTCAGCTCCTTTCGAGACGAGGGTGGCGGCTCTTAAAAGAGCCTTTGGGTATTGGCGGTTTTTTGTTTTTCCGAAAAAGGCCGAAGGAACCGGAGGGGCGCCCGACTTAAGCTCTCTCCCCGCGGATGCGCCGCGCCAGCTGAATGTCTTTCGGCATGATGGTCACCCGCTTGGCGTGAATGGCGCACAGATTCGTGTCCTCGAACAGCCCCACCAGGTACGCTTCGCTCGCCTCCTGCAGCGCCATCACGGCCGAGCTCTGGAAGCGCAGGTCGGTCTTGAAGTCCTGCGCGATCTCACGCACCAGCCGCTGGAAGGGCAGCTTGCGGATCAGCAGCTCGGTGGACTTCTGGTAGCGGCGGATCTCCCGCAGGGCGACGGTGCCCGGGCGGTAGCGGTGAGGCTTCTTCACGCCGCCCGTAGCAGGGGCGCTCTTGCGGGCAGCCTTGGTGGCCAGCTGCTTGCGGGGCGCTTTGCCGCCGGTTGATTTCCGAGCCGTCTGCTTCGTCCGAGCCATCTCTTCGCAGAAAGGGAAAAAAAGGAACTGAAGAAAACAGTTTCGCGGGTCAGCATTTATACATCGCCTTCCACTTTTGATTGGCTACTGCTACGAAAAAGCCTCTTTCCATTGGAAGAAACCTAATCATTGATTGGCTGAGGCTAGGAAACTAAAGCTTCATTGGATAATTTAAAAGTGAGCGCCATAATTTAAAATGAGACTGCCAATTTTAGCTTTTTTGCTTCAATACTTGTATTTAATTTAAATCAGTATTCTATGCTTTCTCCGACTTTTATTGTATTTTTAAAAACCCGGAAGGTAAAATCTGTTTTTTCCGTTCGTTCGCAGCTTGACTGAAAATTAAGGAACTAGGAAATTATTACTATGGCGGGGGTTTTTTTCAAATATTTTATTGTTGGAACAAAGCGCCTTATATTCAACTATACTCAATGAGCACCAATTTCACTTATTCACGTTGAGAACGTGGTTTCGCTTCAATTATAACATTAAACTATTACATCCTAAGTGTTCTATCTCCCGTTCAATATTAAAATAGCCATTTATGTATTTATTTGGCCCTTCTAAGGAGTAACAGTCTTAGTATGAAATCATTTAACTGAGACTTCTTGAAAACTTTTAGTAACTTTGTGCTCTGAAATACAACTATACAACAGCAAACACTATTACTTTGAATTTCTGGAAGGGGCAATTAAATACTGAGCGGAATAAACGAGTGGCTTTCACAGGTCCAGTGATGTTTTCGAAATTTTCTAAACACTGATACAGTAACTCTTAAAATATCATTAATCTTTTTCCATCCTCCGTAATCGGGGAAAGAAGGGGGAGGGAGGGATATGCGAACAATTACCTATAGCCAATATACCCAACAACAAATGTTCCAATAATAAACCAGTAAGTGCGGTTTTATTTTATACTAACTTCCATGCAAATAAAAGGGTTCTGGTTCTCGTTTTCTATTGGACAACAGAGCAAAGCGTTACGACCGATTGGATTACTTGACATCGAGTGGCTATTGGCTGTTCAGATGACGTCTTAGTGTGAGCCTATCAGAAACGCATCACAAAACCCTTTGATAGGGAAGAAAAAGACCTGTAATTCAACCTGAGCGAACGAAATCTTCATTCACAAGCTGTTTTAAAGTTACGCACCGTCCATTCGGTTTCCTAGTCGGGAAAACAAGCATCTTTTCTTTTTAAATTAGGCGTGATTCATATTTATTGACAGTCCATTTAAGTTTTTAGGGTTTACGAAATAAACCTGGAGGTGTTGCAATATCGGTAACAATATATTTCATAGGACCTACACTTTCGATATAAATGCTCTTGTTTAATAAATGGAACTACTGAAAAGTGGGAGAACTTCCTTTAGCAAGTGAAAGCCCTGAATAGAAAGTGCTCACTTAACAGTGACATTTGTTGCCCAGTTGCTTACTAACCAGATACGAGTTGGAAACCTGTTTACCCCCGCTCCCTCCCCACTTTTCAGAAGTAATGATTAGCCTGCCGTGTATGGATCTCCGTTCCTGAGTGTAGTTGGCTTAAAGCTCAATTACATCCCTAAACGGTGCAGAATGGTGCCCTAGTGTGCAAGATTCCACGCAAGCCACATTAGATTGTTTCAGGGTATTAAAAGCATCCGGACAGCGTTCTACTGAGCGGACAACAGCTCTCTTTTAGATTCTGTGGGTGGCTCTTAAAAGAGCCTTTGGGTTTTTAGAGAAGCAACCACGGGCCAACTCTGGATTTACTTCTTCTTGGGCGCCGCCTTCTTCGCTTTGGCCGCTTTAGGCTTGGTCTTGGGCTTGGCAGTCTTCGGCTTCACAGCCTTCGCTTTAGCCGGACTTTTGGCGACTTTCTTAGGCTTGACCGGTTTAGCCTTTTTGGGGCTCTTGGTGGCCTTCTTAGCCGCCGCGGGCTTTTTGGGTTTCTTCGGACTCTTCTTGGCCGCCGCTGCCGCTTTTTTGGGCTTCTTGATGGCACTCGCAGGTTTCTTAGCAACCGGCTTTTTAGGCTTAGCTGCTTTCTTTTTGGGCGCTTTCTCTTTCCCTTCGCCCGATTTCTTGCCGAGTTTGAAGGAGCCAGAAGCACCGATTCCCTTCGTATGCACCAAGGTGCCTTTGCTTACCAGGCTCTTCAAACCCAGTTTGATGCGGCTGTTGTTCTTCTCCACATCGTAGCCCCCAGCGGCCAAAGCTTTCTTCAGAGCAGCCAGAGACACCCCTTTGCGCTCCTTGGAAGCGGCCACCGCCTTAGTGATCAGCTCGGTGACGCTGGGACCCGACGCCTTGCGCGCTTTTGCCGCTCCCGCTTTCTTCGCCTTCTTAGCCGGAGCTTTCGAAGCTACAGCTGGTGCCGCAGCCGTAACAGCAACAGCAGGCGCCGTTTCAGACATGATCGCTGAGAGAACCAACTAAAAAAAAAACCTCCAAACACAAAAAGTGAGCTCAAGTAGGTCAGCCGCTGTTTATTTATAGAGCTGAGCTGCTTTGTGATTGGTCCGCTCCAGAACCCGCCCTGTTGCAAGGCTGAAGGGACTCTTCCGACCGCTCAGTTTGTGTTTCTTTAGAGTTAATAAATTGCAAATTTTACAGAATTTATGCCACTAAATAACGAAATCTTAGAATGGGAAAAAGAGGAAAGTGTACTTTTTATTCCTTTAATTTTTCAAAAAGCAGAACGCAACATATACTTTTTAAAAGGGCACTTAACCACCGAATGCAGGATCTGGGAAGACCTGGAAAGAGTGGAAGTTTTGTTTTTCTTTGTAAATTAAAACAATGCATTTTTTTAAATGTTCGGGAAAACTATGCAGATCACTTCTTTAGATAGTAATCTCTGAGGTGAGGCACAATATGTGGGTTTTAGCATAACAGCCTCACTACAAATCAAGTTCAAGTAAACTGAGGTAACACAGACTTCTACGAAGTACACTCACCATTGCTAAACAAGCAAGCCCTAAGCAAGTCACTATCTTCAAAGAAAAACTGTCAGATAATATAACAATATGGGCAAAATTAAAATTTCATATGCTAATATATATGGTATAATACCTTTTTCTCATATTTACAAACTTCACCCTATATTGAATGCAAAAAGGCAACCTAAAAATCGACCGTTTTAGTGAGACCTTTTACAACTCAGTTTTGGAAGATTAACACTAATATTCCTGGTTGGGGATTGAATAATTAAAAAAATTAAAGGATTTTCCTGTTGAGATTTCACCCAAACCTAAGGAACAAAATGACCAGATACATTTCTATTCATAAGAGAGCTACATTCTGCTGAATTCAATGGGATTTACACCTAAAAAAATAGAGATTACAGTTTAGATACAATTTCACATTTTTCATTGTAGAAAAGTTTTATGGAACAAATATTTTATTTAAAATTCTGATTTATGCCTCAGTCTAAATAAGTGCAGTCAGCATGGAAACCACTTTGCTGTCAAAGGAATTTATTTTTTTAATTGGTTTGGCATAAATCCTGAGCAATGTTCTGATTACTGAGCATCACCATATTTCCTTTGTTACATTTGAGTACAAATAGCCTTTAAAACTACATCCTATTTAGTTATTTGGATGAAAGTATCAAGTCATGATTCATTTACCTGTAAATTTACAGTGTACACAGGGATGAAGAAAATCTAGGTGCTTTAGACATACCTTTAGAAGCAATGGGTATATGAAACTACAAATGCTGGACATGTCAGGAATGAAATAAATTTAGGGGTCAATGGAATTTATACTCAAAATACTTGTACAAAGGATAAAGAACTTTTATAGAGAATCCAAGGCAAGTTTATATTACTAAAACTGCTACTAGAATACTTCATTTGGGGCTACATGTACCACTATCTTTCCTGAAAAACATTTAGTGAAAACAACCAACAAATCAACTCTGTGAAAACTCAGAGATATGTAAAGTGTTGATATTTAGGTAGGAGGCTTTAAACTAAGATTTGTATGCCTATTTTATGCATTTTCAGATGATGAAGCATTCTGAAGTGAGTTCTTCTCCCTTAGCCATGAAATCTGGCTGGGTGTTTCTCTTAGCCAAACTGCCTCACAGGGTTGTTGTGAGGAAAACAGGAGGATGGAGTATTGTGTTCCTCCCTTGAAATATTTGTAATAATACAGGCAGGATTTTAAAAAGTCTCTTTCCTTATGTACAAACATATGTACGCTTCCTCTCCTCCCCCCTCCGTAGAAAATGCAACAGCAACAATAGTATTTTGCTAAAGAGCGACAATCACGAAATCCTGAAGCTCTCGGTTTGCCAGAGATGCTCCGGAAAGTCGCAAAAAACAACATAAACATCAAACTAAAGTAGTAGGCGGGGCTTCCTGCCATTAACCAAAGCGCGCGTTTTCAAATCCAGAAGATTTCCAATGGAAATTGCCTTCCTTGGACCAGCCAATCAGGAGAGAAACCGGGACTCACTATAAATTGGGCAGAGAGTCTCAACCTTCCTTTAAAGGCTTTTTCTCTCGTCCGAGTTTGGCGCGAGCAGAGAGATGGCTCGGACGAAGCAGACGGCCCGGAAATCAACCGGCGGCAAAGCGCCCCGCAAGCAGCTGGCCACCAAGGCTGCCCGCAAGAGCGCCCCTGCTACGGGCGGCGTGAAGAAGCCTCACCGCTACCGCCCGGGCACCGTCGCCCTGCGGGAGATCCGCCGCTACCAGAAGTCCACCGAGCTGCTGATCCGCAAGCTGCCCTTCCAGCGGCTGGTGCGTGAGATCGCGCAGGACTTCAAGACCGACCTGCGCTTCCAGAGCTCGGCCGTGATGGCGTTGCAGGAGGCGAGCGAAGCGTACCTGGTGGGGCTGTTCGAGGACACGAATCTGTGCGCCATTCACGCCAAGCGGGTGACCATCATGCCGAAAGACATTCAGCTGGCGCGGCGCATCCGCGGGGAGAGAGCTTAAGTCGGGCGCCCCTCCGGTTCCTTCGGCCTTTTTCGGAAAAACAAAAAACCGCCAATACCCAAAGGCTCTTTTAAGAGCCGCCACCCTCGTCTCGAAAGGAGCTTGAGCCTATTCCTCAAACAAATCCCTAGACGGTTAAGGAACCTTAAGTAAATGCCGTTTCCCCCAGTGTACCTAGATTGTAGCAAGGAAAGGGTGAATTTTGAAGTATTCTGTACACCTAGTTCATTTTAAGGCCCGATTGTTCTGGACACAAGTGTTTCCACTATTTAAACCGCCATTTTGAGATCGGGAAAATTCTGTATACTGTGGAGACTTAGGACTACCTGTGTAAAGGAATTTCTGTAGCTTTGGAAGGAGGGTTATTTCACCTCAACTGTCCAACACATGCGCTTGTCCCAGGGCAGTTACGAAGTCTGATTTTTCTCCGATGAGTGAAAAAGGAGAACCTACATTTCTAATTCCCACCCCAACGGCCAGGACACCGCTGAAAACAAGCCTCAACTCCCGCCAAGAACTCTAAATAGCAGTTCACGTGAAAGGGACAGCGCCTCCTGAATTTTGGTAGAGATCAGAACTGTCCCGTTTGTTAAACCTTAAAAATCTCAAAACCTGTTTCCATCAATATTTTAATTTCAAATTTTAAGAAATACTGCAAACTTCTATGTCCCAAATGTGCTTTTCCAAGACAACTTTTATTTTCCGTTGGGTTTTTTTTTCCTTGAAGTTTTCTTCTTCATCCAATATTCTTCAGTTCTGACTGAATGGTAAACTGAAAGAATTTACATCCCTTGCAGGAGCATACTATAAAATGTATTCCCTAGATAACTTCAAGGAGAGCTGATTTGACTACGAAACTTTTTAAAATCTGGCTGTTTCAGTTTTTCTTTAATTATCCCTTTCATTTTTTGAAAAAGGTCACATTACTTATTCACAAATTCCTAGATATTGATATAACCCACCCAAAGGGCTATATCAATAGGCAGTCCTTGACTTATCACAATTCTTGTTGGTAAGCAAGGCAGTTAAGTGAGTCATGCCCAATTTTACAATCTGTTTTGCCATGGCTGCTCAGGGAATCACTGCAGTTAAGTGAATCAGTGCTGCTAGCAAAGCTTGTGTCCCCCATTGACTTAGCTTGTTGCTAGCTGGCTGGGAGGATTGCAAAGGGTGATCATGTAACAGGATGCTACAGCTGTCCTAAACACATCCCACTTCTGATCACATTATCATGGGGATATTGTAACAATCCTTAAGTGTGAGGACTGGTCTGGTCGCAAGTCACTTCTTTCAATGCCATTGTAACTGAACCATCACTAAAGTGGTTGTAAATCAAGAACATGCCTTTTAGAATCATGGTATTTAATCTTCCACTGCCTAGTGATATTTTACTTTGCTGAATGTAACTCTGTATCTTTATATTAATACTTTATTAACATAATACAATGAGTCAGTTTACCCTGGTGAGATCAAGCCGGCAGTGTGCCTAAGTCCCTGTTGAGAGCTTCAGTACATGGCGTGAGTTCAGATCACAGGATAGAGAAAATTGTTAACCGTGGAAAGAATGTCATATGAATGCAGTCACAAAAAATAATTAGGGATAATTAGGGAAACATTTTATGCTTTCTGAATGTTTGTCATATATCTTCGCTGTTATTATTTCTATCTACCTCCACTAAACTTTTCTGATTTAGACATACATAAGTCTCAAAGGTAACATTTAGATGGAACATGGGGAAAACAAAAGATATTGCAGACACTTGCCTACCATAGAAGCAAAGGAAAATAACATTAAATAATTAAACATAAGTTTTAAATAGGCTCTTACTTCTATTTCCCCAAAATCTTAGGGAGATGCTAAAAAATATTCCTAACCCTGTCTCCTCAAGGGGAAGTGGGGAGTATTCTCAGGCTTTCCTTCTGAGCCTATTTCAGACCTGTTGTTTTGCTAATACTTCCTGCATCCCTCTTCCTTATGAGAATATAACTGAGAAATGCCTCACATTGCCATCCTTTGTTTGGTAGTTTTTATTACAGGAATTTTCCTTCCATAACAAGGAACATTTCATTTTTCCTTTAAACCACACTAATCCAGCCGTTCTGGAGGTTTTCTAATACTTCTCTAAACTGAAAGTGGTTTATGATGTGTCAGATATGGTCATGACCTGAGACAGGTTTGTTTCATCTGAAGCAGTATATAGTACAAACAACTTCCGATTCAGTATATTAACTGCTCCTGGAATGACTGGTTCAGTGCGATCCAAAGAAAAAAATGTAAGGTTCCAGAATTTTCTAACCATTAAATTCCCAGGAACAAGATGTAGCATATATCTGTTTTTCAGGACACTTTTGTTCAGTTCATTCAAAACACCAAAAAGCACCAACCAATATAAATTTTACTTTCAGATGTTAAATCTTCTCATTGTACAATATATTCATGATGTAGCACATCCCATTCCTGTTTCACACACTTATCACTACAGTTTAGATGCCTTGTAACCTCAAGATAATTTCCC